AAAATCTTTTATATTTTTTATTTTTATTTATTTTTATTTTTTACAGGTTTAGATGAAACTAGCTCATGCTTTAGTGCTGTGCAAATTTCTTCAGCATATCAATGTTTAAATTATTGATATGGAAAAAAAAGAATGGCATCCTTTTTAATTATGTATGCCTTCAAAAATCAGCTTCTGATTTTAATACAATTGCAAGCACTAATACCAAATGCAGATTATGTAAAGAAACAAAACTAGTACTATGGCAGAGGTTTTTCTTTTTGCTTTTTAAACTTTAATAATTCTTTTGAAGTCTCTAATGAGTAAGCATGACACTGGACACTAAAGTACAGATGAGAAAATGACTGAAAAACACCAATTGCCAATATTCAAATACATAAAATTGATTAGTAAATGATGTTTTCTAACATGTAAGCACAATAATAAAAGCCTATGAACTACAGGGAATTACCCCTCCCATATTAAGGCTAGGAAATGCACTCTCTGCACTTGTTTGTGCTGTCTGAATAAGCACTCAACTAACGTACGAGATCAGAGTGCATGCAGTAACAAAAAAAATCAGTTTCATCAGCCCTCCACAGAGTGCTTTTAAATTACAGGCACATAGTTTTTTTGTTTGTTTGTTGCAGTGAAAATATATATAGTTAGACTTGGTTTAGTTAGTATTCTGTGCCAGTTCGGCCACCAAGGTTGACTTAGGTAGAATTGACTTAACAGTTTTTCCTTTGATTTGGCCATAAGTGAGATTTGTTTTAATTATAGATATACTATTTTCCAGTGTTGCATTATACATTGTAGGTTACTACTAGGTATCTCAAATATTGTTAGAGATTGTTGATGAGAAATATACTGTCAACCATATTTAGTGCAAATTGCATCTAGAAAGCTTAATTGGTTAAATCCGGTTAATGCAGATTTTTGTGGTAGCAAAATGATTCCTGCTATGGAAAAGAACACATTAACTTCTCTGGAGATTGAATTCTTTCAAGAAGTGATGTATTGTAAGATTATTCAACAAACAAAGCGCAGGAATTTAAAAAAATTAAAATGAAAGTGTTCATAGATCTTTCTCTTACAAAAACAAAAAAAAGACTAATGAGACAGTGTTCGTGTAATATTTCAGTTCCATGGATTTACAGACAGGCTCTTCCTACAGGTGTTTGAAGCAAGGTAGGGCCTCTTCTATTCCAGCAGCATGAAAGACAAAGACTATATTACATCACACTTAGCAGGTAAAGCTAACAGGGTTTACAGGATTACACAGCAATTGCTTTCTCCAGTTTTTTCACGGTTCCGTTGACCTGTAGAGCAAGAAGAAAGTTTTGCTTACATGACATTTCTAAAGCAATTAGGTCATTTTATGTGTGAGTATGCTTGACATAAGTATGTTTTTTATTATTTTTAGTACAAAAAAAGTTTTTATTATACACATGCATACGTTGCTGAAAAATCAATCAGGAGTAGTTTTTAACAATAAAAACTAAAGCTTTTAAGGTTCGGTAAAATTCTGCATTCTATAAAAATGCTAAACCAGAAAGTTAATTTATTATTTTTCGATAAACAACATGGACTAAAGCATTCCATTACTTGCTTCGCAGATGACCACAAGGCCTTGGATTTTCTCTACTATTAAATACTCAAAACCTAAGAGATCTGACTGGTTTGCCATGTACTTGAGTAAGAAATACCTCTAGTGCACAGCGTACCTTGAGAGTTTGGCTCTGGCAATGTCTCTCTAGCCACCAAATGCATCACTGTTGTTTTGCCAAAAGGAAGTTTTAATGCTGCAAAAGGAGAAAGGGAGATTTATTAATACATTACAGCAGTCCTCTTTCTTCAAAACACCCAATTGAAACTAACTAACTAATTGAAACTAAACTTACCCAAGGAAGTAAAACACCCAATTGAAACTAACTATAATTGGATTAGCACCTGTTTGTAAGTTCATACTGTTAGGTTTGAACTGCTTACTAAGTAGATATATAAAGGCGTTTCTGGCTAAAGTTTGTAGATCAAGATCTCGAGACCTGATAATAATCACTTAAAACATTGTGTTCACAGAGACATGACATTCCTGTTAGGAAACTTAAGCCTTCCTCTTTTGAGTAAAAGTAGAAGTGGGTATTCATGCCAAGACTCAGGTGCTAAAGTGCTCTTTAGCGAGAAGGATGCAAAAAAGTGGCCAATTCAACCACTAAATTGTTACTCCGGAGACATCAAAACAGAGCCACTACTGCGAAACAGATTTTCCTAAAACATACTTTGATCCATGATACAGATTTTCTGAAATACAAAATGCCTGCATCTTGCCTTTTAATATGAACCTGTAACATCAGCTGCATGCGAAAAATATCAAATTTGTAACATTTTAAATCAGATAAGGTAGTTCTCACAATGCTGCCTTTGTGAGCTTTAGTAACACAAAATAACAGAATTGGAGCTTTCCACAATTCATTCTGCTCATTGCTGAAACTAAAATGACAATGTTCACAATCTGATTTAAGTATACCAACACAATGCTATGTTTATGGTTTTAGCATTGTACTATAATACTTATCAAAACTTCTAGTCTCCTTGAAATGAAAGGATTCTCTGTTGCTCATTATATTTAGCAGATTCTCATTGTCAGATTCAATATTCTGAACTTTGACTTCTTCCACTTATGG